AGACAATAGAGATAACTGCAGTTAACTGACTTGCAGCTATTCAGAGGAAAAGAAAAACCTAAGTGTAATTTCTGATACTCTTGTTCTTATCACTTTAGTTTGTTTCTGTTAAAAAAACCAACACAACCCACAAAAAAAAAAAAACCCACCACAAACACTGCTTGTCAATGACGCTGATGAATTAAGAAAAGTTTTCTTATGGTGATAGTCAAACAGTAGTGGCAAGAGTGATGGCGCCAGTAGAAAATCTTGTTAGGCCCCCAATGTCTCTAAGTGAGGGCCATTCTGATATATTATCATTAAGTGTCATTGAGTTGACTACAGCTCACAGCAACCCTAGGAAAAACAGATTGAACTTCTGCTGTGCCACCCTCACAACTTCCACCATATGCACTCTATCTTGCTGAAGGTCTTCCTCTCTTTCATGGACCCTGCTGGTGGCCCAGTGGTAAGAAACTGCTCTGTCAATCCATAGGCTTGAGGTTCAAGTCCACTAGGTGCTTCTCAGGAGAGAGATGGATAATCTCACATGGGATTTATTGCCTCTGAAAACCCACTGGAGGATCAGCTATGAGTCAGTTCCAACTAAATAGCACAACAACAACCACAACAATCACAACCACCTTTCCCAGCATAATAAGTATTTCCTGACAATGTGCCCAAAGGATGTGAGATGCCTGATGCTGCTTCTAATAGAAACTAAAATCCACATATTCTGTGCTGTCAGGTTGGAACTAATTCATAGCTGACCTTCCAGCAGGTTTACAAGGCTATAAATCACCCCGAGGAGCCCTCCCATTTTTCTCCCACAGAGCTACTGGTAGATTGCAATATCTGTGTTTGGGTTGGGACTGCAACTCTTTTACCACTAGACCACCAGAACTCCCTGCTTCTAATACAGATAGGTATAATAGAAGTATCATACAAGGAAATACAATAGAAATATACTACAAGGAAGATCTGTTAATGTAACTATTATTCAAATATATGCACTACCTACTAAAGACAAAAATGAAGAAATTGAGGATTAAATTTTGCAGTCTGAAATTGACTGAACATGCACTCAACATGCATGAATAATAATTGGTGACTATAATGCAAAAGTTGCAAACAAAAAAGGACTTGTACTTGGAAAAAATGGATTTGGTGACAGAAAGGAGGATGGAGATAGAATTGATTGCAATTTTGTACTTTCAGTGATTTATACACTGCAAATATCTTTTTTTAAAAAAATAAATACCTCACCTGATGGTCTACACAGGAATCAGATTGAATATACCTATGGAAAGAATTGACAGAGAAGCTCAGTATCAGCAATCAAAAAACAAGGCCAGAGAATGATAGTGGGACAAATTATCAATTAATCATATGCAAGTTAAAATTGAAGTTGAGGAAAGTTAAAACAAGTCCAGAAGAACCAAAACATAACGTTAAGTCTACCCTGGCTAAATTTAAAAATGAATAGATTTGATGCATTGAACATTGAACACTAATGATCAAAGATCAGATGAGTTGTCATATAACATCAAGGATATCATCTATGAAGAAAACAAAATGTGATTACAAAGACAGGGGAGAAAGAAAAGACCAAAATTTGTGTGAAAAGAGACGCTGATAACTGCACTACAATGGAGAGAGGCCAAAAAAGGGAAGAAAGCCTGAAGTAAAAAAGATGAACAGAAGATTGCAAGTTCTAGCTCGAGGAGACAAAACAAAATATTATGATGACATGTGTAAAGAGCTAGTTGGTAAATCAAAGGGAAAAACATGTTCAGTACTTCCAAAGCTGAAAGAACTGAAGAACAAATTGGAATCTTGAGCTGCAATATACTGAAGGATGCTATGGGTAAAATCTTGAATGAAGCTTCAAAAGAAGATGGAAAGAGGGAGCCCAGCTGGCCTAGTGGCAAGAGCTGTGCTGTGATCCTGAAGGTGCATGGTTCGAATTCATCAGATGCTCCACTGGAGAAGGAGGGCAATTTCCTCCTGTGCCAGTCAGATCCGACTCAATGGTACACAACAAGAAAAAAAAAAAAAGAAAAAAAAGAAGAAGATGGAAAGAGCACACACATTGTACTAAAAAAATTGGTTGTCACTGAACCATTTCTGGAAGTAGCATATGATCAAGAACCAATAGTAATGAAGGAAGAAATTCCAGCTACACTGAACCATAGGCAAAAAAGAAAGTCCAGAAATTAATAGGATACCAATTGATATGTTTCAACAAATAGATGCAGCCCTGGACATGCTCACTGGTGCAATGCCAAAAAATTTGGAAGACAGATACCTAGCCAACTGAGTAAAAGAGAACCACATTTGTTCCCATTAAAAAGAAAAAAAAAGTGATCCACTAGAATGTGAACATTATCAAAGATATCATGAATATCATATCCAGGTAAAATCTTGCTTAAGAACATTAAAAAAATATCTGTCACAGTACTTTGACAGCGAATGGACAAAAATTCAAGCTGGATCCAGAAGAGGTTTCGGAAACCAGGGATATCATTGTTTATGTCAGATGGATCTTGGTTGAAAGCAGGGAATATAAAAAAGATGTAGGATGTCTATTTTTTTTTTACCGACTATACAAAAGCAAACATTTGACTGCATGGGTCATCACAAATCATGGCTAACATTGAGAAGAATGGGCATCTCAGAACAACTAATTGTGCTCATGCAAAACTTAAACCTAGATCAAGAAGCTGCTGTCCAAACAGAACATGGGAACATGGTTGAAAATCAGAAGAAGTTTGTGTCTGTGTGGTATTCTTTCCCTGTACCTGTTCAATTTATAGGTTGAGCAAATTATCCGAGAAACTGGACTATATGAAGATGAACTTGGCATCAAGACTGGAGGGCAACTCTTCAACAATCTTTCTTATGCTGATGGCACAACCTTAGTTGTTGAAAGTGAAGAGGACTTAGAATACTTGCAGGAGATTGGAGACTACAGCCTTCAGCATGAAATATATTTCAGCATCAAAATATCCAAATCCTCACGACTGGGCCAATATGTAACGTCACGATATATGGAGAAAAGGTTGATGTTTTCAAGGATGTAACTTTACTTGGATCCACAATCAATACTTAAGAATCAAAGCACTTAAGAAATTAAAAGATATACTGCATTACAAAAAGACGTTCTCAAAGAGTGACAATGTCAGTTTACAGACTAAGGTGCATCTGATCCAAGCCATGGTCTTTTCACTTTCTATGCATTTGAAATTTGGACAAGGAATAAGGATGTAAGAAGAATCGATGCCTTTCAATTGTAGTATTGTCCAAGAGTAATGAATATTTCATGGGACAAATAAATCTTTCTTGGAGGGAATGCATCCAGACTGCTCTTTAGAGACAAGGATAGTGGAACTTAATCTCACACACATAGTGTGCTGCCAGTCCTTGGAAAAAGACATCTTGCTGTGATAGGCTGAGTATCAGAGAAAGATCTTGAACAAGATGGATTGACACCAGTGACTGTAACAGTGGGCTAGGGCCTATCAGAGATGGTGAGGTTGGTGCAGGATAGGGCAAGGGTCAAATCTGTTGTTCACAGGGTTGCTATGAAGAGTAGTCAAGTCAATGGCAACCACCACAACAAACAAAACAAGATAGGCATGGAATCCCAGTCTCACATAGTGTGGAGCGAGTTGCACTGAGAAATCATATGGGATTCTAACTTTTGAGGAACTAATTCTCCTGCCTGGACATTACTGATGTAATGGAAGGCAGAAAACTTTCCTACTCTTGGAAGCACTAAGAAAACACGTTTGGAGTCATTGATTTACCTCCTACAGACGCCAGTTAGAATCTGGCTATCACGGGGAGCAGGGGAAGCGGATTTTCCCCAGATGGATCAACAATTCTAAGAACTTCATCACTTTCTTCATGCAGCAACATTATCATCCCCATCCCGTATCCCAAACTCTTCAGAGTTGACCAACTTCTCTCGAACAGAAGCGAAGGATACGGAGAGAGACCAGGAAAGATCCAGACTAACGAGGCTCAGTTTAAGAGATTTTGTTGGGGAAATTCTCTAAAGAACTTCTTGGAGTGGGAAACCTCAGATTTGAGTGAGATCTTGACTGGAGATATCCGTTTTAGGGACTCCTCCAATTGTCTGCTAGCTCTATTTTGGAGTTCTTTGGTTAGGAGACCCTCGAGTGGAAGCAGGCTTTTGTTTGCAGGGACGCCAATAGATTGAGGGCTGGCTGTGTGCCGGGCAGAGGGAATGGGGATGTGGGCTGCTTTCCACTGGGCCCCTAACTCTAAGACTCTCACTCCCGGCGGCTCCAAAGTCTGGAGTGACCTGCAGAGTGAACCAGTGTGGGGTCCCCGCCTCCCGGGAGAGTTAGGGGCGGGGACCCCTCCCCTTCGCCCACCTCCTCTCTCGCCGCCTCCTCTCGGGCCCGCTGCCCGGGCACTCAGAGGGCCGGTCGGGGGAGGGGAGCGCGGGACTGAACAGGCGGGCAGCAGCCGCGATCGGGGGACCCCGAGAACAGGGCCGGGGCGCGCGGGCTGGGCCGGAGCCGTCGGGGAGCCGGCGACCTGTCCCTGGGAGCTGTGCCCAGCAGCGGGACACGAGCTCCGGGGCGAGTTGGCTCCCGGCGCCGAGGAGGGCGCGCGCGCGGAGGGGGAGGGGAGCATGCCCGGCTGGAGCCGGGCCTCGGGGCGCGCCCCGGCCGCCGTCCCCTCCTCCTCCGCCTCCTTCTCCTCCTCCGTCTCCTCCTCCTCTCCCAGCCCC